ACCTTCACCTTGTGTCAGTGCTGTGGAAAGCTACAGGACTTCATGAGGGTGGCTATTGCTGTGGCCTCTGAGGTGTCCAGGGGAGAGGTTTACCTCATTTCATGCTGTCTTTTCACATCCCATCCTGGGGAAAGTATATTTATCAGTTTATCGTAATCCAGATGTATTGGGCAAGTGTGTGAAGAATTTTAGGAGGACAAGACACTGAAACAAATTTACTGTGATTATCAACGGAAATGTTTAACTCCAGTGGGCTGACAGGATTGTTCTGTTCTGCTGTAACTTGAACCTGTTAAAACCCCCCCTATCTTTTATAAAGAGAATGGTTTAAAAAAAAAATGGGGAGTGTATAAGGGATTAGGTAAAGGGAAGATTGTTCTCCTGAAATTAGCTGTTTATGTATCCTTGAAAACCAGTATATTTTTTATGATATTCAAAAGTGGATTGTTGGACTTTTCTCTGTAATTACAATAGAGAAGGCACAGTTTGGCACCCCAGCTCAGACGCTGTGTACAGCACTCCTCAACCTCCTCAAAAAGACTTGAACAGTGATGGCATCTCTGTCCTTGTCACAGCGAGTGCAGGTGGCAGGTCAGGTGTGAGGGCTACCTCATGAGCAGTCTGTCCTCCCTGAAGTGAACAGATGCCCTTGCTGTTGGCCTTTGTGATGTTCATACTCTCAAAATCCTCATCATGACTGTTTGCTCTTCTCCCACCTCTCTTGATGGAGGGAACAGTGGAGGGATGGGTGAGAGCAGTTTCTGGGTTGGAGGTGCAGTTTCAGGGATGTTGAGAAAGCTCTTAACAAGGTGAGCCTGTTCCTCCTCTGGCTGTTTGTGCCAATCTCTCCTTCAGTATTTACTCTAACGTTTGTAAAAGCAGATAAGTCTTCTGGAGAGCAGAGCCTGCTGAACTGGAGACAGGGAAAACCTGAATAAACAAACATGTGCCACAGATTACTAAGAACATCTGTACGTTTTATATTGTTTTGAGAACACATACCACAGTTTTTCATTTCTTAGGCTTTTTTAGTTTCTCCCTTTGTTTCTGTCTCTTTCTTTTCTTCTTCTTTTTAAATATATTGCTAATAAAGGTTGGAGGTAGAAAGCACAGCTGGACTCTGCATGACATGCCACTGTTTAATTTCTAGCTTGGAGGATGAGAAGAAGAGTAGTTTTATTGTATCCTAGAAGAGAATAAAGCCACATGCAAATTCCAGCCATGGACATCTGTTTCCTCTTTGTGCGAAAGAATTCTCATATTTGGAAGGGAATCCCAGTTGTGAAGGGGCTGATGAGGTTTTGTGTTTTTTTTTTTTTCTTTTGGTTCTTCCCCCCACTTCTTTACCACTCCTTCAGCATTCTGCCCACGCTCCTCGGCTCCTGTTTTCCTGGGACAATGTCAGCTTGCAATTTAGCATCAGATATCAAATGGGTGAATTTTGATTTACTTTAAAATGTTGTGTTGTAGCTACAAAGAGTATTTATTAAGTTCCTCCTTAAGTTTCTTTTATTTGATCAAACAGTATTTGGTAGGATGACTTTTGCTCTGTCATAAATCTTCAGTACTTGCAGTTTGGTATTTTTCTTTAGAAGTGAGATATGTGTGTCTGTTGCTCTGGCCATGAAATACAACTATTCCTAAAAGAAACTTATTAAAAATAATCTTTTGAAATCATCTTGTATGAGGGGAATTAAGTAGATCTGTAGAAGTAAGAATCTGCAAAGTTCATTGCCTTAAGTTAGGCATCAGGTGCTAAGGACTACAGGAACCAGAGTAAATGATAATTTCACTAACCTATAAAACATTTTAGAATAATGATTTGCAGCTGTCTGGGGGCTTTAAACTTGTCCTTTTTTTTTTTGTGTGTGTGTGTGTGTAAGGATTGACTCTGTTGAACAAACAGCACAGTTATATAACATTAGGCCAGACATGAGAACTGGTACTCTCTGTCTATTTTATATTAATGTCGAATGAGGGGTTGGTGGAGCTTGCCAGGGTTTCATATTTGCTGGCAGCAAGTTACCCACATGTGTGGACCACATTTTTATTGTTGCCTTAGCCTATTTCAAGCATAAATATTGCTGCCTAGCAGGGTGTGATCCTGTTCATTGCTGAAGAGCTTTTCTTTTAAGAAGCAGAATATGAAAAGGATTGAAATGCTCCCAGTGTTCTAATTAAGACTCTGAGATTTTGTCACGTCTGTCGTGGTGGAGGAAGAAAGGGCAATAAGCCATCTAAGGGCTACCCTTGCAGAGCTGTTTCTTTTTGCATATATTAATCCTACTTTTGGGTGTGGGCTGTTAGTCTGGTCTCTTAGGGAAACAAGGCTTATGCAAGCAGGGTGTATGCACACATGAACACAGCAGCCCTTCCACATCTTGACCACGGAAATGTGGCGGAAGGGCAGAGGCTGCAAAGATAAATAGAAGTTCCTATAAGTTTCTTGAAAATATGTCTGTGAGGGGAGAACAAAGGTGATTAAGAGGTTTGAGGGAAGGCTTGTAATAGGAACTTTCAACAATGGCTGTGGAATAGATCTCGAGAAGAAATGTGATGGAAGTCCCTTCCATGGGAATATTGCTGAATGTGGCTTGGAAATGATTTGGCTTCGGAGAATCTGATGGCAAAAACAAAATCTGCAGGAAGCCAGACTGCATTTCATTCCAATACCCGTTAAAGTGCTTGTGTGGGTTTTGTTCTTAAGTCAGGTTGTTGTCAAACAGGCTCCAATGGGCAGTGGTAAGAAATATAGGGCATCTCATTTAGGACCATCTTAGTGCAGCAAAGGTGCTGCTGCTCTGCTTGTTGTTCGTGGTGCTTGGGTTTTGCAAGTTTTCAAACTGTTAAAGTGTGACTTAAGAATATTTAGGCCCTTATTCTGCAGCCATCCTGGAGAGGAGGGGTCCCAGTGGCTGTGCAGGTCCCACTGTCACACATCCAGAATCTTCCCAGGTGTTTTGGACACTGCACATCTCATGGGGCGTGCGGGGAAAAGTGAAACTGATAATCCCCATCCAGCTCTGACCCCACTGAGCAAGACATGGAAAGCAAACACCACTAATGCCCAAAATCAAACAGCAGCCGTGAACAAATTTCCTCTTTGATTGAAGTGCTTCTAGCGAGGAGATAAAAAGGGGGTTATGTCAAAAGCTTCCCTTGTTGTCTTATTAACAGCTGCGTAATTTTGCCACTCATTTACAAGCATTAAAAAGCAAAACTTGGAGACTGTATTTGAAAGCTTGTTTTGTTTGGTGTACAGCTGGATACAGAGCATTTCCTTTTCTCTCTTTTAACAGATTTGAAGCAAATGTATTGGCTACTGTTTCTTTTTTTCCCTATTTTTTTGGCCTAGATAATATAAGGTTATGTTACTTTTCATTTTACACTGCAAAGAAACGATGCCATATAACTCCAGTTCAACAATGATGCAGTAGCATGGTGTATATATATCTTCTCATAAATATATTGCCACACATTACTGTCAAATAGCTGGACTTTTTCACCCAGTATTAAAAATGAAATTTAATTGCTACACTAGAGTTTCAAGACCCTGATAAATAAGAGCCATGCCTGACCTTTATTGTGGGGCTCTGAGATGCCACCAGGGACATTGCTCATTGTCCAAGATGACAAACTTCCTCTGAGATTTCAGTTTGTCAGCTCAATGTACAGCAGTGACATTGATTTCTTCTCACTGCCATTTCCTGCCTGAATAGATAGCAAATTTTCTGTGGCAGGTGTCTGTCAAGTTTAGTTTTGCCTGGCAGATTAACTTAATAGACTCATTTATTAATCATTAGTTGCAACACAGTGAAGCAGACAATACTCTTTAACTCTTGGGATGTTGAATAGATGTACCATTTCAGATTCCTTTGTGTCCCTTAAATTTGGGTTTAATAAGCCGTTCATATCTTTACTGAATGTTTTTAACCTGACATTACTTAGAGCAAAGATATCAGCATTAGTTAAGCGTGTTCTATGGAGTATGTACTCCTTTTCATGGCAAAAGGTGAATTAGTACTTTCTGAGACTAATAATTTGATGCAGGAACTGGTGAAGGACAAGAAAGAATTTGCTGGAGAATTTTGAGGAGGAAGGAACTATAAGAGAAGGAATAACCTCGTAAAGTGATGTCTCTTATTGCAAAGAATCACTGTGTTCATGATGAAAACTGACTCAGTTGCATATTAGCCCTGCACAGCCCCCAGAGCTGATGGAGACATACATTTGCTTCTTTTGCCCATGTGTTAAGAGGGTCATGAAGTGTTTATCAGGGCAAAATCTGTAGAGGACCTGGAAGTGCACAGGCACAGCTGGGGACACATGACAGCAGGAATGAGCCTAGCCAGAGATACAGGCTGTTGCTGTACAGAAGCACCTCGTGTTACAGGCCATGAGAAGAGAACCACCAAGTTCCTCCCTTGGGTTTTAGTTGGGTTGTGGTAGCTCTTCACAACCTGCTTTTAATTCTCAAGGGAGCTTGCTCATGGGAAATCACCAGGAGACATTCAAGGGAAGTTTCTGCAGCTGATGCCCAACTGCAAAACCCAGGTTGGAGCACAACTGCTTTCAGCTCAGCATCTGTGAGAGTGTGCATTGCTGACGATGTTTTTTTGCCAGGCTGTGCTCCTGGCCTTGGGAACGTGTTTCTTGAACCATCCTTATGGCTTTCTTGGCTGAGTGTCAAACCAAAAATGTCCCTGCACTAGATCACACTGCTTATTGCTCTTCTAGGCCACCCTGGTAACAATACATTAACCTCTCAGCGGGGAATGTGATAAACAAAGTAAAACTGCTTTAGTGAAACCAGTCATTTAATGGCAGCGTACATAAAGTGTCCGTAAAGATTTGTAAGTGTAATAAGCTGCAGTTCACTGGGGGAACAATAACTGTTCCTAATTTAGCCAGTTGAGGAACATGCCAACCCAATTTGCTTTTGTAACATTATGTTGTTGTTCTGTTTTTTTTTTTTTTTTTTCCTTTTCCCACCTCTCCAGATTCCTTTCTCTCTGGTACAGTTTCCCCTCTGGGAGTCCTTAAAGGTAAGTCCTCTTTAATGATAGAAATACAAAGTTACACAATTTGCAAAGGTTTTCCATGGTAACCTATCTAATTTGATTGTTGCAATTAGGGGCATGTCCACGAATCAGTAAGTATGTGCCTACCTACCTGTGCATGTGAAGATCATTTGCCTGAATATCTGAAAAATAGCAGGGAATATCTAACCACTGCTCTGTGGCCTGCAGGCTAAATTTTACTCCCAACATGCCAGAAATCTTATCTTCGGCTCAACCTTTTTTTACTGCTTAAAAAGAGTGGGCACTGTCTTGTGTTGTGATTTTTTTTTTTTTTAAATTTTCATTCTTTTAGTGCTCTGCTCTTTAAAGTAAGAGGAAATTGTGAATGATACAGAGAAAGCTGTTTGAGACAGGGTTTTGTAGACATGGAGAGACTCTCAGTGTATTGCTGAAAAGCTGTTTTGATTGGCTGCCTATACTTTATTTTGGGGTCGTTTAAAGAAGGTGTCAGTGGATGATGTTTTAATAGTGCAGTTGTTTGGAATGATGTGCTGTTCTCCCACCAGCTGGCTGCTTTGTTTGTCATGGTCAGAGTCAGGGTCTAGATTTTTGAGCAGAGCTGGGATTTGAAGACATGGAATTTCTCCTTCCCTCTTTGAACTCACCACAGAAGATGAATGGTTTTTTCAGGTGCTTTGAGATCCTGGGTTGGAAGCACAGAGAATTATTGCAGGCCATTAAAAGCATTGCAGCAAAATATAATATTATAAGAGAGAAGCTGTGGAGAGAAACTTTCTTCTTGTTAAGGGTGCTGGACTACAGAGCAAGCTCAGCACTGAGACCCAAGCTTGGTGCTGGTGTGTTGTGTTGGGACAATAGTTCTTCCTCCCCCTCTGTGTCTCTAGCTTGGGGTGGGGGGAACAAGCCCACAGTGTGAATGTTTGCATGTAGAGGCTTCAGGGAGTCCAGTATAAAGGTGAGTCCACAGGCAGGAGGAGCATGAAATACATCAAGAGCCTTCACAGAACTGTGTTTCACAGAGGATCCTGTTGGTACTTTGTGAACTCTGACTTACTGTGGTGTCTGGGTATCATCCCATTGCACAGGGCAGCCTGAGCTGCCTTATTAGGAATCTGTTTCCCTGCCAGTGTCTAGGAATGGCTTTCTATAAACTCTTCAGCAGCTTCACTGGCCTGACCTGCTCATAGTTAGTGCAGCAGCCGTGTTTGGGAGCAAGAGGTGGCAGAGCTTGAAGAGAAAAAGTGCAGTGTTCTTGCCAAAACCACATAAACCAGCACCATTGTGTAGCTGGTTTCAGAAAGTAAAGTTGTTTTAATTAATATCCACGTAGCTGTGACAATAAAATGTATTGTTTACATTACAGGCTTTAAAGAAGACAGTTTGAATTTAGCCAGCTACAGGAGTGAGTCACTTAGGATGAGGCATCATGTTTAATCTACAGAGGTCAGTGCAGATCTGAAGAGAAACAAAACCATGTCAGTTTGTTCCACAAACCTGTTGCAATGTATTCTTCTACTGAGGAACCAAGGGTAGGAAACTGCAAAAATCAGTCTGGCATGCACCAGACACTTTGGCTCAGCAGAGGGAGAGAGCTCAGGGTTTGTCATGGTCAAAGCCAGGCAGTGAAAGCAAGAATACGTTTTGTTTATCTGAGTGAAGCTCTTAAAGAAATTGTCAGTACAACAAATGACAAAAACCATTATGGTCCCATCAACAGGCTGGATGTGGCCTGTAGCACCAATGAGAGTGTGGCTCAGGGAAAGGCTTCTCACGGGTGCATGAAGGGAGCGTGAAGAGACAGTAATTATGAAGGACTAGGAATGCAAAGGATGAGAGAAAAATGGCATGAAGCCTGAACAGAAAAGAGTCATTGAGACGATGCCTGAGGGACCATTCTGCACTGTATTAATGGGATTACTTGAGAGAGTAACTGCAGGAGCAGTAGTGAATGATGCGTGTGGGCCGTCTCACAGATCAGAACAGAACAAGTGCCCTGGCTGTGTCATTTTTAAAACCACTAGTACAAAGTTGCGTAAGCAATGGAACATAGATTCGGTCTCACGATTCCCTGAACAAGCTAATCACCATAAAAATGAGGAAAAATATCTTTCCACTATGAAAGGACAGTTAGTGAGGCACATGGAATTGAACAGTTTCCTTTTCCTTCAGATATGTGCTGGTTGCAACCAGCAGCAGGGTGTTAAGCTTAAAGAAGCCTAATAAAGGCTTGTCACAGGTAGCAAATTGGGTGTTTCTATATCCCATCTTCTCTATCTACGTTGCTCCAAGCTGCTCTAGTTATTCCATATGCTTCCAGCATGCTTTAGCCACATAATTTACATGCACAGTTTTCTCCTGTCTGTGAATGTGGGCCAGCTGTCCTGTGTAAGAGTAAACTTGCATTTCATGCACTAAACTAAGTTAGAAGAAGAGAGAGCATTGTGTAGATCCCTGAACTATAAGGTTACGTTTGCTGTGGGTGCTGGCAAAGGGGGTATTGCAGTGATTAGCAAGAAACAGATACTGCTTCAAATACAAGTCTTACTGCCAGTGATTCAGGTGAACATAGAAATTAGCAAGAGTTAATAGACTTCTTCTTTAGTTCACAATGACTCAAGAAACAACAGTAAAGAAATTATGGTGCTTTTAATTAAAAAAACCCCAAAACTCCTCCTCTTTTATTTCTGGATGTAGGTAGATCCACTGCTATAATACGTGCTTAATGTAATTTTTCTTCCCAATTCTCTGTTTTTCTATATTTTATTTGAAGTATAAATTTTCTATATAATTTAACCAAACCAAAAGGGAGAAGGAAACTGCTATGGTGTATGAGATTTCAGGACAGACATTGTAATTCTCTGCTGAACTAGTGTAGTGCTTCTCTGTCCTTTTAATCCAAGCCTTACAGCTAAAACAATTCTGAGTTTTTCTCAGAGTTCAGGGCAAGAAGGGGTGTTTGAAATCTCATTCACTTTCTGCTACAGCAGCCCTCAGAGGAGCACCGTGGTTGAATACCACTGTGACAGTTTGATCAGGTTTGGGTTCTTTTATGTGGGGCTAATGCTTCTGATCCCATCTCAAAACCAGCTGGCCATGAAGAAAGGCAACAGAGCATAGATGTAGTGTGCTTCCCAAATGCCAGCCAAGCACAGTGCCTCCCATATTAGTTCAGGTTTTGGAATAATGTTTTAAGATACAGTCCCCTTGTATGCTGCCCTGAAATTTCCAGGGTGCCTCTGTAACTTGCTTTGGAAATACTATATGTGTGTTCTTCATTGTGGGAATTTCACATTGTGGGCTGTGCATTTGGCATGAAATTGTTGTGGGTTACACAGAGTCTGGTGCAGCTCTTGCTTTCACCCTCCTGCCAGGGCTGTGTAGTCTCTGTTCAGATGACTGCAGTGATGTGGAGCCCATCCCTTCTTTCTGTTTTGTTCTGGTCAGGCATTTTTATTCAGCACTTGTAATCATCATATCTGAGTTCCTACCAGCAGCATATAAGTGATTTATCATTTACTTCATGTTTTAATCCATAATTCTTCTCTTTTAGACCTAACTGAGAAAGATAACTTTAATTTCTGCTGTGGGGGTATTACAGAAATACAGGGCATCAGGTTTTGGGGTATTTTTCAATAAAATAGAGTTTTAAAACCATACAGAAAATCAAGAGCCTCTGGTTAGGTTTTGAGTTCAGAAACATCTTGTCAAAAATGCCTGTTTCTTATGGCTCACTGGAAGCAGTCAGCTCCCTCAAAGAACAGTGCTGTGTGTAAGATAAACCCATCTCAGGTGAAACAAGGCTCAGTCCTCTTGGGTTTTATATTTCTGCATGTTGGCTGCGCTTCAGAGCCAGCCTCTGAGAGTTACTCAAATGCAGCTGGATGTGGAGAATGGTCTCTTTAAAGACCCAGTATATTGTATGTCTGGAGAAAAGGCTTTGGTAGCCGGTGAGGAGGGAAGGAGCAGGCAGGACTGGAGGACATGGGTCTCAAATGAGTAGGCTTGAAAAACAAGGGGTTTTTTGTTTGTTTAGTTGGTGGGAAAACAAACCTACTGTCCTGGGAACCCTTTGTCTTTTTCACTAGACATGTCTGATTCTAAGATGAGGCACTTGGATGTTCCTAAGACTGTGTAACAACAGGGTCAGCCAGTCCTGCCCCTGCACACCCATCCTCTCTGAGAAGGCTGGCTGTGCTGCTCCACTGGCCCAGGAGCTGCTAAGAAAGATAAAAATCTTGAACTGACCATGCTCAAGATGAGCTCTGGCTCTTCTGGCACTCAGTGGGGCCAGGGTTTCCCTCTTTGTCTCAGTGCTGAGCAAAACTTAAAGCTCTTGGACTTTCTGCAGCTCCAGCGAACCCACAAGTTTTTTGTCACTGGCTTTAGAAATAAGATAATTTTCTCAAATCTGTAGGTCTCACAAATTAACAGGTGTTTTACAAAAAGAGATATTTTGTTGGACTTCAGGGGCAATAGCTGGAGACAGGGAGCTGAGATACATGAGCAGGTCTCCCTCGGGGCTTGCTGTGCTGTAAGATGCTGAACAAGCAGAGGAAGGAATGCTTTTGGTGGCTTCAGGAGAAGAGGGTGAATGCACGTGGGCACATTTCCACCCTGTGAAATAACTGGGCAATTGTAGTAGAGAGAATGGAGAGAGTCCAGCTGTTCCTCTGTGAGGCTGAGCAGGATCTGAAAATTGGTTGGGTCAGAACAGAAGTTCCTTGGGTTGGTTCTAAACTAGTTTCTGCCCACACGATGGAGAGCAGATTTGGGATTGGATTTAGGTCCTCTGTTATCTGTTCAGGTTCATTTGTCACCCCGCACAAGGCATTTTTATTGAGGGGAAATCTTCTGGTGAACTGAACCATAGGTCTAACATGAGGGAATTGATGTGTGTATTCATTTGCTTGGTTCTCTTGGTTCCCCCCTTCAGAGAGCTCAGCTTCTGGGGCCTGGGGTAGGCAGTACAGGGTGTGGACAAACTGTTTTGAGTGTGGGCTCAG